ATACGCAAACGAGTATTCGAGAACCTACCTTTGCCTGATGACGCAGAAAGAGGGGTATGCTCAGGCGAGCCTCCATGCATTTTTCAGTTTCAGATGGCGGCAGTTACTGCTGATATGGTCGACCAAAAGCGGCTGAACGTCGCACGCACTGAACATGACACTCGGTACCAGCAATTGGAGACATACAATCTAGGCATGTGGGGCGAAAGTGACCTACGACATCGCACCTTACTCCATATTAGTGGCCTATCCGCATCAGATAAATGGCCGCCGGCGACATAACTCTGAAGCAGTATGATGCTCGCAAAGCTACACCTATAACAAAGGCAAAAATCGCCGCATTGATCCAATTGGCAGGAGTTACTACCATGACAAGGATATGCCCACACGATCGGGGTGTAAGGTGCGTTGGTCGCATCGTCCTTCAACCGAATGAGCGGTGACGAAACCGTAGCAAAAGGACCGATATGACATGCACGGTAAGCTCAAACCCACCAGTGTAAGTGTGGGGAACAAGGAAACGAGAACAACAAAGAAATAGCAGTAGAGCCTATGGAAACAGAGGGATAGCACACTTTGTGCGACAACCCCGTTGCGGCCGTCATCGCGACCCAGCGCTTGACGAAACGTCGTTTCCCTACGCGCCCATAACACTTTGACGTAAACAACAACAACATCGGCGGAGAGGAAAATGAACAAGCACTATCATGCTGCAAGTAGTTGAGCCATTAGTTCGGAAGAGAGTCCGCACTTGTCAATTGCGTGCGCAGCAGCGTGCGTCATTAGCTTCATGCTCAACATCTAAGCGAGCGAAGGAAAATAACCTAGCCCGATTACCGGCCACTGGCATGACAATGAGCGACGGTGCCACATTATCAGATCCAGAAAACCCGAGTGCGAGTAGAAAGTGGCTCTCGCGGGGCTTCTGTAACGTGCAGCTAGCCCTATTAGTTGGCCGTAAGGCGGGAAAAGTCGGATGATGGTGATGTGTAATTAGCACTGTGGGAGAATTCCAAGGCCTGTGCATGAGAGAGGCAGTGCTTTCTAGGTTTGCGATACACCCTCAGTTGCTAGTCAGCTCGGAGGGCGTTCTGGTCTTTCACGTGAATAGCCGTTGAAAGGATGAAAAGACTGGAGGCGAGGATCCGAAAGAAGGCTGGGAGAACAGAGTGGAGTCAATCTAGAAGCGTGTTCATGTACGATGACGGTCTGTGGGTAAGGCCTCAGAGGAGTCCGTGTTCAACAACCAAATCTCAATGGGTTAAGCTTGATGTAACGATGCCTGCTGGAAGTCATACACCGCAAAACACACCCAGAAAACCTGGATACAATGCCTGATTGCAAAGTGCTCCATTGCAGTCTAAAGCACCTTGAACGATCATGTCTACCACGACTCATGATCGCAAACATTGACTCATCGACCAGCATGTCTTTAGAAGGGTATCTCCCTGATATGCCTGTACGTACGTTTCTCTAAAGAAAAGACCCGGACATAAACGAGCGGTGAAGATAACCACGTACCATCTTTTCAAAAGAGGTTGGAGATTGGGCGTGTGTATGTCTTGGCACCGTCTTGCTCCGCGTCAAAGCGGTGTTCTCCGACCAACCACCGGCTTGCGATGTGCTGCTGGCTTCTTATCCTGGATCCCTTTGCCTCTGTGTTGTTCAAAGAGACACCAAGGCATATCCCTGACCAATTGCCAGCTTGACATTGTACGCGTGGAGCAGTCGCGCAAGCTTTCTATGCGACGCGTCGAGTCTAGGGAATTCCTAAAGTCGCCATGCACCCGGCTTGTAGCTTGCCGATTATGCCTAGTTTTCTAACCTCATGATCACCTAGACCACACGATCAGACAGTGTACGTTGTATCTGGCAATCGAGCAGCGAGTATGAGAGGTCGATTCGGGAGGTGAGTGGACGCGTTGTGAGGTCAAAGGTCGGGCCTAACTAAGGTAAACTCGTGAAGATGTGTGGAGCCGCTCAGGCAAGACATATAGGCTTGCATCGGTAGCAATGGCAGTAGGCAGTACGGTTGCTTGAGCGATGTTGTAGACCGCGTTCGCGTAGGAGACAGGGGGCGCGTTCGATGATCCAATGTCATTGATGACTAAGTGGCCTGCGGCTCTATCTCGGCCCGGAAATAACTTCATCTCCGGCGTTCAGATCGTCTTCCATGAAGCCAACTAGACAACACTTTGAGGGAAACACCTCAAGATCAGCGATAAACAGCATGAGAAATAGATACAGATGAGTTATAAGTTCAGGAATCGTCAGCTCAAAGCCTCCAAAGCTACAGCTGGTCTGCCTTAGAGCTCGTCGTGGCCGTCCGAATTCACCTCACACAACCGCCCATCCTTGGTCTCCACCAACGCCTCACTCCCAACGCATCGGCGGCACCAAAGTACGTTCTTTGGATCGGCCCTCCTCTTCACTCCCCTCAACATCCAATACCTTTCCCCCCAGAACGCTTCCTGCCATTCCGGCTCATAGCTATCACCCTCGTTGAAGTATGCGCCAGTGTCGGGGCTGAGTTGCCGCAGTGCCTCGGTTTTTCTGCGTGTGATATCTGAATATACATGGTTGATGGTGGCCTGGGATGCGTTATCACCGAACGGCGATGCGACGATAAGGTGCGTGAGAGTGTTGCGCCATGCAGGGTTGAGAGCGCTTTGAAGAGGGTAGTAAGCTGGTTCGTTCGGTGCACCAATCATGTGGCCGATGAGGAGTGGGTTAGTTACTGGTCCCTATGGGTATGTTAGCCAAGATCACAGATGTCAACCAGAGCTGAGGTCCTTTACATTTGGCTCAAAGGCATCATCGGTTGGGCCGATCTTCGAAAATACGATCGCCGTCAGGTGTGGGTTCGCCAGACTCTCAGCACTGAGCAATCTCGACCCATATGCCGAGCCACCATTTGCGACTTGCTCGTTCGTGAAATTGGCTTTGTGCATCTCCAGGTACGTATCCGTGTGCGATATTACCGACTGCCATTCAAAAACCTGCTTCCGCTCCTGCAGATATGCTTCAATGGGTTCCATGAGTAGCTCAACCGCTCCGCTTGGAGCGTTGTAAAGTAAGAATGTCCAGGAGAATGATAGAGTGGGAACACTAGGCGGTCCCACAACCAGGTAATACCCTTGCATGCCGCCTTCTTTCAGCCGCTGCATCTCTGCGTGCAGGAAGCCTAAGAACTTATAGAAACCAGTGCTTCTACCTGGGTGTTTGGAGCGAACTTGGAAGGTATGCGCAGTAGTTCTTGGGGTTGGAAAAGTGCGAACAACGACTTCAGTGATAATGCCGAATGTGCCGCCACCTCCGCCTCGTATAGCGAAGAACAATTCTTGGTTCTGACATGGGTTTGCGAGGACGACTTCGCCATTGGGTGTGACAATGGTGGCCTCAAGCAAGTTGTCGGCCCCCATCCCGTAGCTTGTCGAAAGCGGTCCATGACCACCGCCTGTGAGCCACCCAATGAGCCCGACGCTGGGATTGGCACCTGTTACAATCGCCATTCCATGCTGAGCTACTTCTTCTTGTACTTCAATGTTCGTGTGGCCGGCTGAAACACGCACAGCGGTCAACGGACTCTCGGAAGGGCAAGACGCTGGACTAAATGATGCGACGTAATCGATGCCGCGCATATGGTGCGTCCATATACTTAGGCTGCCATAACCGGTGCTGCGACCTTGGTATGAATGTCCAGTCGCCTTCACGACAACGCGAATGTTCCTTGCGCTTGCCCAAACCAGGGCTATGCTGACTTGAGAAGCAGTGGTGGTATTCACTACGTAGGCGGGGTAGTTGCCGATATGACATCCCTGCACTTCAGCATGTGGGTTACCAGTGATGCTAGTTCCATTTGGAAAGATTGGATTGCAAGAGTCGTTTGCCCATATAGGGTAGTCAATACTGACGGGATGTGCAGCGTGATATGACGAGTTAAACCATTGCGACGTAACGTACTCACAGGCTTCTCGATCGAACTCCGGCCTCGACGGGTAACAGACTGCTCCCGGTGGAACGCTGCGCATGAGTGCGCCATCAAATGTCTTGTTGAGGTCGCTCCATTCGTTGATTGAAGGCCAACAAGCATCACCAGGTGCCTGGTATATGCATCAGCCGTACTCAATGGATGCGCGATCCCAACTCACACATTTGCACTCATGGCCAACCGCGTCGCTGTGCGATGAAATGCAGAGAAGGCAGAGAAGGGAGGTATATAATCGCATGTCTTTAACGCTCTGAGCAGGCAGGGTAGCGTATGTCGAGCTTCAAGTTATTCGGTAAGTCCTTCTCAAAAGCTGAAAGTCGTATAGCAATTGCATTAAATTTTGCCAACGGAAAAGTCAGCGGGTCAAGCAGATCTAGTTGGAAGTACCGCGTAAGATGATGGCCAAAGATGAGTGAGAATTTTCCGTTGCTATTAGGGTGGTCAATTCTTGAATTGCGGAAGAAGATAGTTGATAGCAGCTAGCGCTGCAAAGGTGTCGATAGCGAGACAACAAAAGAAGGTGATGAATGTTGAAGAAAGGAAGACGAAAAATCCATATCCATTCCGTGAACCTGGAATGCCTGACAAGCCAAGCCTCGGTGAGGGGCAAAACACGTGACGAGCCCCGATTATATCGATCCTTCCTCTCATCCAAAGGAGGCTATCCTTGCGAGCGGATGGCGAGTATGCTAGATGGACGATGAACGTAGAGGATTTCATCTGGAACAGTATGATGTAGAAATCCTTCCATCTGCCTCCACCACCGTGCGTAGCTGGCCTGCCGGGCTTTGTCGGGGATGCTACTATCATAGCCATTTCCATCATGGCACGATCCATCGCATTGGAGGATGTCGCTCGTGCAAGATTACATGTCTCCTTTTAGCTCCATATTGTCGTACTTCCATCATGCCAGCATGTGGTCGTAACGACGTCGCGATGAACTTCTAGAGAAACGTGTCAGCATGGAGCACTTGATGTCGCATGTGAGATACACACCTCCAACACCACTTCAAGCAGGCCTTCGATGCTTCTTGCTAAGTCTCCTCCGCGCGCGACTCGGCTTGCGCACTGGTATTTGCTCGTGGCTCGGTGCTAGAATAGGTCGTTCGGCGGCATGCATGTCGCTACCGGCTACACTTGCCCCATCCCTCAACGCACGGCGCTCCTCATCCTGAACCTGAATATCGAAAAACGATGTTCTCCAGTTCGTCTGTTCCTCTGGCATACCCCCCGAGCTCCTCACCAGCACGCGCCGCGATCGCTGCATGTCGTTGACGTCCGGCTCTTTCCGGAACAAAGCATCGCTGAAGATGCGTTTAAAGAACTTGGGCATGTTTATTCGCTGTTACTTTGCAAGACAAAAGATATAGCCGCAGGAAGGATATTATGCAGGGACTCGCGGGATGCGACAGGCCTTATCAAGCCCGTGTTGATGTTTGGGTGGCGAAGATGAGGGCGGCAATTGCGGGGGCCGATACCCCTGTTGCGAGAGGATGGGCAGCGCCATTGGCCAGTATAAGAGGGCCGTAATGTTGATCTTGAACGGGCGTGACCAACTCTCTCCTGGACGCGTCAACGGAATTTCACTTCCCGTGCCTTCGCCCGCTCTACTGAAGATAACTGCCTTTCCATAACGCGCATCCAGCGTCTCGCGCCTAGTCGGTCATATTCAGCTCACGATACATGCGCCCAGAAGCGCCGTTGCCGACAATTCAATCAACGCGCGCATTCGGTTCGTGAGCTAGCTGCAACGATGTCACAATGATCGGCACAACAGGGTGTTTACTAGGACTTATGGTTCTAACATGGCGTCTAGATGCGGATGAACTTCAGTTCATGTGACGATGAAAAAGCCCGAGCACCAGCCATCCCGTTTCCCGACTGGCTTCATGCTCCAAATACACTTTCCGTTCGTTGTTTCCTATCACTGACGCTTACTCATTCCTGTGTCTTTTTCTCTCCTCTTCTATCCTCTCCATACACTCCTCCTCCGAGCAGTCGAACCAATCATCGATACCGCTACCGTACCACTCAATGTCTCCAAGTCGCCAGGACTCGCACGAACAGCCGGCTTCGTAGCACTTGTGTCGAATATACTCTCCATAATTTTGGCTACCTGAAACCAAGAAGCCTTGGGTCTTCAAACGATAAACCACTGGGCAGACTGCCTTCAGGTAGTCGGACCAATCGTCGGACATACCCCATTGAAAGGTAATGTGCAGCCTGAACCCCTCCTTCCGTGCAACACTTGGTTCTTCCAAAAAGGTAGAGAGTGGCCGACATGTCTGTCGGATGTGTACTGCTCGACTTGATGGCCTACTTTCTCCTGTGTGTAACGGTGGCGACGCGGGGCCGATGGCGACGTCCAGCTTCCTAAGGAAATCGCATGTCCGGACCGAAGGCGACCAGTTGTCATACAAGACGCCATCGTCGTCTTGCAATAGTGGTTGTAGCAGCTTTATATCGACCAAAAGATCTGCGCACTTGTACCAAATCTCCACAGCTTCGCGCGCGAACTCAGGGCCGACCTCACGTTCCAGCATCCAATATGGCGGCTCATATGCTTCTATCATAGGCGCAAACTCGTACAAGGGGTCGTATGGGTGCTTAGAGTTGTTGTCGACAATCTCGTACGGTTCGTCCTGACTTCCGCGATACAGCTCTGTGTAGATCATGTCCCGGAGCTCACGTGGTAGTTTCTCCAAGACCACATTTGGCAGCTCCTGTGTAGCCTCTCGACACTGCTGGTCTCTCTTCGACAACAAGAGTCTATAATTGTCAGTATAGATGATTATGCCTCTCCAAGCTTGTATAGCTTACATGCGTATGGCAAGACGTTTCGCGCCCAGCAACCGTAAATCATCATCTGCTAAGCGGGCTTGTTCGCGTTCCCTATCTTCAGTACTGTGTATGCTGGTAGCCAACGTCAGTCAGTCGTCCAATTAATTAGATGTCGCGTCGCTTACTCTTCATCGACGTTGCTAAGAGCCGCTTGCAGACCCTCAACGGTATCGGGTATCTGGAAATCGGACAGAGGCATGACTGATCAGCGTCGTGGGCTGGCTGTGACTTCAGTGGGTGGCGTGCAGAGGTGGTGAGGCTGCAAATGAGTCCCTGCGAGAGAAGGTCGGGCGGGATCCAATCACGAGCCTGCACTAACCCAGAAAGGCAAAGCGTGTCCGGATTCGGTGCATCCATGATGGATGAATGCCTCTTCACCGAAAACAGTCTTATCTCGTGGCACAATCCTACTAATATTACTGCCTTATCAGTGATTGTCAGATCATAGCCTTGACATCACCTCATGGGACGCAAGCCTATCGCCCCCGTATCGGCCCCTACTGGTACATGGTACGGCAACGATCAAACTGGGCGCCTTTTGAGCTTGCGAATGTGAAAGATGTATGACGGTACGGCGCAGGCACAATATCCGTAAGGAATTGCGTGAGACAGAAGGGAGAAAACTTGTCATTCGAAATGCAAATTACTGGCCCTCCACCGCGCGCATTCCCTTTGCCAAATATCAATCTTTTGTCGTTTGACCCGCATATCGACGACACTAAAGCTGTCATGTCCTTGTACCTGAACCCAGAACTTACGCTTTTCCACCACTTCAGGGGAAGCTGCGCCATCTATTGTAGACGCTAATTCGGTAGACGAGCCGGAATATTGACTTACATCAGGCTTGCTCAATTGGACCGCCTGCTCCAAGGTGTTTTCATCCACCAGATCAGGCTCGGGTTCTTCTTGAGCCGGTGTTGATACGTTGGTATCAACATTGATAATGGCGGATGGTGCTGATGGTTGACTGTCTTCTATTCTCCGAACCCCAACGTCCTGAGCGCTTACAACAATCTCAGTACTGTCTTCGTCGTCACTGGAGCTCGCATCGTAGAACGTATCTATCGTATGGATAGACGGCGGAGTGAGCATACCAGCTTCAACATGACGCCATCTGTAAATAGGTTGTTTGTCGCCCACGGTATTCCTCGCGTCCAACTCGTCAAGATCCAGGTATGGGTTAACATCCGGTTCGATAAGTTCGTCCGGAATTAAGAAGATGTTTGCATCGAGAGCGCGTCTCTCTGCGTCCAGATACGCATCCTCTGCATCGCGTAATTCGCCTATCAGCTTTTGTCCGTTTTTGAGGAAGAAGCCTGGAAATACAGTGACTAATTCGCTGTAGGGTTTAGTTGGATTTTGTGCGCAGAATCTGGTGAGTTCGAGGTTGTAAGACGATCGATGGCTGTCGTGTGCTTTGTCGGCTTCGCGGAAGGCTTTTCTTGCTGCGTGGAGTTTGCTTCTGATATTAGCCTCCTTCAGTAGTTGGGCCTCGCTGGGTTCGTTGCTTTTGTCGTAAAGTACAAGCTCTTTACCGGCCGGTGTTTCTTTTCTTGCGACGGTCTTGATGGCGGGCGCTGTAACTGGCACACCTTCGGCTTCCACTCCTTTTGTCTTTTTAGCTGGATTTTTGTGCAGCTTTCCAGCCTCTATGGAAGCACCAGCGCGCTCGGGTTCTTGTTCTTCTGAAGATCTACTACTTGTTATATCTTCACCCTGGGCTTTGGCGTAGTCCGGTAATATCCCGGCCTTGATGAAAGCGTCGTCATGACCCAAAGAAACAGCCTCCATCCAATTGTACCACTCTTCTTCCAATTCTTCCTCTTTCTTTTTGATGGCCTCTTTCTCCCGCTGAAGCCGTGAGATATCCTCTTCTGTCTTCGATAGTCTCTCCCTCATTCTCATGATTCTCGTACCCGACCCATCTTGGTGCTCCTGTTCAGAGGTATGCTTTGCCATCTTAGCCTTTGCTAGTGCCGCGCTGGAGGAGTAGACGAGTCGTTGAAGTTCTGAGATCTTCTTATCGATACGTGTAATATCAATTTTGGAGCTGAGCTCGAGCTCTCCGTGAGCGCGCTGAAGCTTTACGCAATTTAACATCCTTTGACCGAGTTGGAAAGACAGTAATAGCGCCATGACTGGCGTTCCGTCTACAGGAACCGCAATGAACGCAGCCGAGCCCGTCTTGTAGCTTGTCTTGGAGTCTTCATCCATGTGTACCGTCTGCCAAAGTTTGAAATGGTCTTCAGCCTGTTCACCCGCCGCCTTTGAACCTGCATCGTGATCCTTTGGACTTGCTGGTGGCTCCGAATGCGAGGAATTCTCCTCCTTCGCGGTGTCTTTCGACTGGTCTCCCGGCAATTGGCCGCCGTCATGCTGCGACATTGGTACGCTGGCAGTGCTAATAGTTAAGGCTATCTCTGGGCGCCGCTGGATGACATACGCGAGTTGATTGAGATATGAGCCAGCTTGGGGTCGAGCTGATGAATTGAAACGGAAGACAAAGACGGTACCACGAGGGTTCCGGCAGCTTTGTCGAAACCATCAAAGAGCATACCAACGTCTTTGTCCTTAGACATCGTTTCCTATTCGCTGCGACAGCCGGGAATAATTCCCATGAGATCAGACTATTTTGCTCTACGGAGGAGCTCATCTGTCTTCCAAGTCATTCACCAAAGACACGAAACTGGATATGATCTTTTGCATCTTTAGGAGGCACTTTTCTCTTTGTATCGTTGCGTACTGGACTCGCTTTGTGGCTTCGTCAGTCATGAAACCCGAGACTTCGCCATTTACCAGTCGTCTTGTGAACCAGCCTTTAAATGCTATTGGGTGTAGTTCGGATCAGGACGACTACTGGTAAAATGTATCACGAATTTATACGTAGTGCTTTCGTCGTGGTTTTATATCGAGTCAGCAGATACCCGAGTAACGATGCGAATTGACGAAACTAGAGGGGTCAACAGCGCCTGCGCAAGTGCAGGGTAGAGAGACTCAGGAGTCAGGTATTCACCGATCTGAGCATCTCCCCGTGATGTGCGGGCGCTATGACCGATGTCTTTCTTAAGGCCTTCATTTCGAGCCCTAGTCGCCCTGGGTCCTCAACTACTGGTAGAGGTAATAACTTCTTCTCCACACCGATTGCCTTACACTCAACCGCGCGCCGAGTGTTCTTTCCACCACCCGTTCATAAGGTCTACCGCCCGAAAGACCTACCGCCCGCACACCGCGGATTGAGGAACTTGAACATCCACTGCACGCTGAAGCCCCCCTGTCCACTGAACTCTCTCTGACGGGCCACTAGCCTCCGTCCGGCTCGCTACCCTTGGGTTCATCAGTCTCCAAACCCCCTTTGCCGCTCCCACCGAAGTCGCTCGTCCTCTGCACAGTGTGACCAACACTCAATACTCAATCTTCACAACCACGACGCGTTGACTCGACATGGCGGGCCAAAGCAGGAAGA